TTTTCACTGCTGGGGCTCTCTGACTCTGTACTTGTGCATCTCCCCGGGGAAACGTGACGTTAGTTTTCGACCCCTTTGACTTTTTTCCCCCCGTCAATGCCGTCATCTTGGGGCTGCTGATATGCCAGAATGTGTTGGACACTTCCAATTAAAAAAAAAATAAATTCCTTTGGTCTGTATTCTGGCCCATTTAAGGGTTTTATGGACATGTTTTTAACCTTACAACCTGATGGATGGAGGTGTGGGGTGTTGTCTCTCCTGCTCAGTTTTCATCCCAGGGGGTGTGGGAAAGCCCTGAGGCTCTGCGTCCGCTGGGGCGTGAGATGCTACTCGGCCGCGGGTTCCTGGGCAGGGTGGACGAGCGGAGGACGAGTCGCTGGCTGCCGCGCCGCCCAACCTCACACCGACGGGGCTTGGGGAGCGATGTCAGGTGGTGGGGTTCAGCGATGTTCGCTGGCTCTGTGCTGCTCTGAGAGGCTCGGGTGATGGAGGCATCCTCACAGGCAGGCCACCCCAATCACAAGCCCACCCTTTGTTCGTGTGGGGTTTTTTTTGGAGGAATTAATTTGGGCACAATTTGAGCAGCCGGCTTTGGCAATCTTCTCCAGCCTGCGAGGAGGTGAGATGTGCGAGCGGGCAGGAATTGGAGATGACACCTCGTATTCCCTCCTGGTGCTCCAGCAGAAAACGCTGCTGCCAGCTGATAATTAGAAAGTGAACAGACTGTGGAAGAGGTGATGTCGGCATCCCTGAATCTCTGTCCTGGGCTGGGGGAGCATCACTAATGATCTGGTTTAGAAAGGCAGAGGGACACCAGGACTTAGCGAGGATGATATGTAGGGCAAACACCGCGGTGCCGTGCTAGAGATCCTGAGGGGTGTCCCGGGCAAGCGGCTCTGTTCGCTCCGTATGCACCAGTGCTGCGCCGGCACTGACTGGGGCTGTGGAGGCTTTGAAGCTCCACCGCTGTAGTTTTGAAAAGGCAGGCGATGTGGGCAAGGGATCAGAAAGGTCAAAATCACTTTGCAGCCAGAGTTAGGTGCAGATGGAGCAGAGCTACTGCTCTGCCATCTCCTGAGGGTGGGAAGCAGCTGAGAAAAATTGCCCTTGATGGAGGCTGGGCTGACGCAGGGCGCGGACACCCATCTCTGTCCCACCAACTGCCCCGAGCTCCCTGGGAGCATTGTGAGGTGGGTTGGTGATGCAAAGCAAGGAGGAGGTGATGGGCTGGTGCAGGTTCTGGCGTGTCCTGGGACCAGGGTTGGGGTTCCCATCATCTTTTCTCTTGTGGACCTGGTTGCCAGTGTGTCTGAAGGCAGGGATGTTGGAATTTACCTGGAAGCTTACTTGCCCTTCAGGGCGTTGACGGGCAGTTGGCTTATCCTTTTCCTTTCCCCTCTTTCTCCCATGTTTTTAAAGCCACTACCTAATAGTGTGTGGCAGACTTGCTCCATTAATGTTATCTGTGTTAGGAATAAAAGCGTGTAGAAGAAACCCAGCCCCAAAGCCTGGCCTTGCTCTTTGATAGACTCCTCAGTGATAATTGTTTTCTTCAGTGCCAGCATCTGCTCTTGCTGTGGGAAGGTTTATGCAGCCTCTGCCCCTCGCTCGCCCACCCTTGTTATCACATAAATCACATAATAAGGCCAGGGATAAACAGGAACTACAGTAGCTGTTAGCCGTGTATAAAAACAAATCACATGGAAACAGTATAATTACTGAGAAAATATCAACTTGAGTAATGCAGTAATTGTTTTCTTCCCTCCAGCAGATTTATTCCAGCTCTCCTGGCTCATGCTGGTTTCGAAGTCTGTGACTTCACATTAATAAGAAGAATTTTACGTTTCACACTGCACTTGTTCAGAGCCTGGGTATGATACCGTCTGAAGGGGAGGGAATATATTTTGAGCAGCTTCTTGAGAGTGCAAGGAAACAGAGCAGTAGTTGAAATATCTCCATCCATTAGAGTCCACCCCAGGCTCTGGGTGGATGCTGGTCTTTGCAAACCTCTTTTCAACCCATTTTTGTGATTTAGAAGAAGGAATTTTTTTTGTGCCTTGAGTAAATCTGAGAGCTCTGCTTTTTGGACTTCACTGTTGCATAGGCAAGATTTTGATTCTTTTTGCCTTTAGTTTTGGCTTTTCCTTCGTCTTGCTGTTTGTCATTTCCTTTATTTAGAGAGGTGCTTGTGAAATGACAGTGACCAGTTATTTGAGGTCCAGGGACATTGCCTCCCTCTGCTGCTATAATCATCTCCCAATACCTGATGATGATGGGGTTTGTGCTGTGACTTGCAGCTGTTCCCCTTACTCAGCTTTGCTGCTATTTTACTTCAGATTCTACAAGGTAAAAGTGTAAAAATATATCAGGAAACCAGGTTTCCAAAGGGTTTTGGGCCAAGTAGGAGTTTAAAGATGCCCTGTCTTGCATATTGGCAGACATGAGATAGTGTCTTTTGTTTCACATGCACAGACAGAAGTCTTTGTGTCCTGCATTTTTGGCCGGTAGCTTACTTGCCTTTAGAAAAACCTGCCCACCTACAAGCCTTTGCCACTTTCCCTTCCCCTGCCTTAATCTGAACAAGATTTTATGAACACCTAATTTATCTTTTGTTTCTTGTGGTGGTTCTGGTCCTCTTGGCTTGAAAAAAAAAAAAAAAGACAAAACCACCAAAAAATCCCCCAGTTGTGGAGAACACAAAGCGTTCCTGCTGTAGCAGACTGACCTTTTTTTGTGTCTGATGCTGGGGAAGTAAAACAAGACAGGATCTTTGGGATTCTCCAGAAACCTTTAATGTTCTTCTAGTTTCTCTTTTGAACAAATGCTGGAAACAAACAGCTTGGCTTTCTGGTGCCTTTGTGCAATTAGACCTGGATGAGCCCCACGCAGGACAGTGAGGAAGGGGTTTCAGGTTGCTCCGTTGCTTTCTGTCCCTTGTTGGCAGCAGTGGGAAGGGCGGTGATACCTCCAGGCTGCACCCAGCAGTGGTTCCTCCCCGGCTGGCTTGATGTCTCCTTCAGCTAGAAGGGGGTTTAGCAGGGGAGAGGAGGAGGAAGGTACCAGCGAAGGATGCTGGTGTCCTGGGACATGGCCACTTTGTTGGGAAACATTCTCTTTGTCTCCCCTTGTTCCAGCTTTGCTGTGGATGACGTTGCCCATCCTTTATGGAGGGGAATGGGGCAGAGCTCGTCTCAGCACAGCCCCACCAGGCAGGGACCGCCCTTGAAGCCAGGTCCCCTGCGGCTCTGCGGAGCTGTAGGTGCAGCCTCCCCAGGAGGGAGCTCACTGCTTCATCCCCCTCAACAGCAGGCTGGAGGCCACCCTACGTGGTTCTGCTTCACGGTAAGCAGATGCTATTGAGGTGCTGAGCAGTGCCAAGGTGGCATCTGCATGATCACCACATTTGGCGTGATCTGTAACAGGGCTGGTGAACAACCCAGGGCCAACATCCATGTCCCTTGCTAGACAGAGGAGCACAGAGAGGCCCATGCTCTCCTGGTGCCACCAAGCTCCATCATGTCACCCTTGTCCCGCAGGACCACCAGCCCGGGGAGAGAGTCGGTGGGTAGCCCTGGCCACTCGCCGGTGGCCCTGAGTCTGCACGGAGGGGAGGATGCTCAGCACCGGTTGGTGCAGAATAATGTCAGCTTCGTCCGCAGACACAGGGCTGCTGTAATGAAGGTAGCAAAGTTGTGTGAACTTCGTCACTTGTTTGTCTCCCCCCTTCCTTCCCCTCCCCAGCAGCTGCGGCATGCTGGGTGCCCGGCCTGGCAGTGGTTTATGGTTACAAACCAAGCCTCAGCTCCTCTTCCTGTCCCCTCCAGGAAAAGAAATTCATCCACTTGCTAAGCAAATGAATAGATAAACTTTTAATTAAGGTGTTGGGTAGCTGCCAAAAAGGAGCATCCTGGGTCAGGGTAGGCTGTTGGTGTGCCGTGATCCCTGTCTGTGTGGCTGGTGGCTGTTAAACAGCTGTTTCTTCCCAGGTGTGTTCATCAGTGGTGGGCAAACTCATCCAGACATGCAACTTGTGTTTGCAGGAGATGGGCTCCTTCATTTGGAGCTGGAGAGGTGAAGGGTGATGTGCAGGTGAGATGTCGTGGCTCCGGGATGTTCCTGGGATACCAGCTCGTTGGGCTCAGCAAAGCTGGTGTGTTGCTGGAGGTGAAGCTGAATGTTCTGATGTGTTTTCCCTCTGCCCCTAGCTCGTGGTTATTAGAGCTGCTCCCTGTGACGGCCGTGGAGGTTATGCTGATCTGTCCTGTCTCAGACTTGAAGGGCCTTGTTGACCTGACAGCCTCTTTACCTGCAATTTGCAAAAAGCTGATTTTCATCAGTTCAGTCTATTTTTATCTCAACTGACCTCACCTATCCCCTTTCTCTTCATTTTTGGATGGATGCATTAGACATCCAACGCTCGGAGCTCCCTGAGAATTTAACAAGAGAAAGGAAGGAGGACCTCCACGAAGGAGATGGGGGTCGTCTTTCCTCCTGGGGACTGCCCTCGTAGCCCCTTTTCATTTTGCATGGTTAATGCTGCTGCTCTTTCCAGCACGGCCGTGGCTGTGTCGCAGGAGGAGATGTCTGTGACTACCTCATTTTTGCAGAGAAGTTGTAACCTTGAGCTGGCTGCTGAGATGTGAAGGGATGCTGCTCCCAGAAGCTGCTGGGAGCCCCTGAATACGGATGGGTTTATTGATCCTGTAGGAATGCGGGTAGCACTGAAGGTGGTGGGAGCCTCCAAGGCTTTGGCAGGAGGAAGAGCAGCTCTCATGTCCCTGGGAGACTTAATCTGGTGCTCTCTGGAGATGCTGGAGGTTGCGGAGCGCTGTAGTGATGTGATCTGGCAGCTGGTACTGCTTAGTCTAGCGGGGTTTTGAGGTGTGTGCGCCTCAGAGGGCTGGGAATGGGCCAGGGAGCTATGGCAGCTGGCATGGGAGGATGAGAAGGATCCAAAGTCTCCTGGGAAAGAGCTGACCTGGTTGCTTTGTGCTCCCCAGGATCGTGGCCTGCCTGGCAAACTGGAGCCCGTGTCGCCTGTGAGCCCTGCTCACCCCGACGCCGAGCTGGACCTGCTGCCAGCCCGGCTGTCGAAGGAGGAGCTCATTCAGAACATGGACCGCGTGGACCGTGAGATCACCATGGTGGAGCAGCAGATCTCCAAGCTGAAGAAGAAACAGGTAAGAGGCTGTGGTCCAGAGGGGAGCACATGTCCTCGCTTCTGCATGCTGCCTTATGCCCCATCCTTGCCCATATATGTGCACAGAGAAGTGGCAGTGCCGGTGCCACCAGGATGGTCTGTGTCCATGCTCCCTGTTGTGACTCGGGTGGGTGCTGCTGTGCCAGCAGTCTGGAGCTGGTAGTTGCAAGATGAGGGGGCTTTGGAAACCCAGCTTGTGGGCTCTTTTGCGTGTTAGAGTACCTTAAAGGGAGAAAAATCTGTCCTTGGTGACTTGCCCATGGTCATGCAAGCAGTCAGTGGCAGAGCTTGAAACGCAGCCTGGGTTGCTTGAGTTCTCTGTACAGCCCAACGTTAGCACAGGGTCTTTTCTTTTTCTTTTCCAGCAATTGTCCCTCCCCAGTGTTGTTGCTGCCACTGTTGTAGTACTGGGCTGTTTAAAACATTGCTGTGATGTCCTGACAGCCCTTCCTGTGCATCCAGTCCCTTTCTTGGGGCTTCGCAACTCCACAGCCATGAGCAGCGCCTGGTCCATCTCCAGTCAGGGCTGTGTCTGAGCCGGGGATTTGAATCTGATCTTCTCAGTTAGTGCTTTCCCCCTGCATGAGAGCACTCCCCAGCAGAAGGATCGCCTGCTCGGTGTTGCCATGTATACAATTACCATAAACCCATTAAGAGATTAATATGACAAAACCTTGGGGGATGTCTGGGAAAAAACTCAGACTTAAAGGCTTTCACTTCCTAAAGCAAATCACTTCTCTCTGCCTCTCTTTACTGGTGGTTTTATTGCCTTTGCTTGGGACCAGTTTCTAAACTCCCTGATGGCTGCTAATCCCAAACTGCCTGAGAGGAACGACCTCTCCCGAGGGATTTTTTGGGAATGGAGGAAAACCTCTACTGGGGCTGTCGAATGAGGCAAGTCTCCTCAAGGGTGAGCATGCAGTTGACCTTCCTCCCCATCAGATCTATGTTTTCCCATAGCAGATACTATCCCATTCTTTCCTGTAAGATAAAGCAGGATACTTTGGATTTTGTTTCCAAACAATATGGTTTAATTAAAGTGAAGGACCTTTTTTTTTTGGTGTTGCTTTTTATCTGCAGAGGTATCAGAGTGCTTAGGGAGAGGGAGCCAGGAGGGGGCAGAGACAGCTGTGCTGGGGCTGTGAGGAAGCAGCCCTGTGTGCCGGCTCACAGGGGCCAAAGGAACATCTGGAGCGATGGAAACCACAGAAGTTCCTCTTGTTGGGTTTGGTGGGCATTGGGCGAAGCCAGCCTTTCCCCTCTCCCTCCTAGGAAGCTGAGACAAAATGTTGGTGTCCTCGCTCCCCTAGCAGTCCGGCTGCTGGTCCATGTTTTTAACTGACATTTGAGGAAGGAGGTGCAAACCACGGTTATTTCCCACTCTGGAGAAGGGCTTCCAGGGCACGGCAGTGAAGGTCCCTCTCATGGCAGCCAGGACTGTCAACTCGGCCGATCCACTGCCTTTTTCAGAGATGCTGAGGAGCTGGTGTTGAAGCTGACGGGAGCAGCATATGCTCCTTGCCGTTAAAATCCAGCTGTCCTTCCGTAAGGAAATGGGTTTTTTATTGTTGGCTGCTTGGTTACTTTATTTCTTCCCTCTGAACGAATTTTATGGTTCTTCCTCCCCACAAAAATGCTCTGCTGAGTGGGGAAGAAGGTGAAAGTGGCTGTTGGCAGTAAAAACATCCCCTCCCCTCCTTTTTCCCTTTTAAAAAAAATTTTTTTTTTTTTTTTTGACACATGGTGACAAAGTCATTTGGTAGCAAATCCCGCCCCCCCAACATGGCCTCCTTTCCCCTCCGGCAGGATCCTTCCCCAGCCCGGTCCTCCGGCAGAGCTGACACATCTGGGAAGATGCAATTTTGGGGGGGAGGTACTGTTTGAGGTGCTCCGGGAACGTTTTGTCCATCTGTGCATCTGAGCTGTCAGCGCAGGAGAAAGACGAGCGAGGGAAAGCAATCAGCCTGAAACAGATACTGCTCCTGCAGGAGCGGGAGAGAGAGCAGGGGGGAAATTGTATGCAGCCGGAATATCCTAATGCTTTTCCCCTCTGTCTTTGGGAGGCCTTCTCAGGGTAATTAAATACATTTGTATGGAAAGGCTATGCAAAAAAAAATCCCAGCCAACCCCAATCCACCATCTCTCTCTCTTTGGTCGTTCCAGAAATGGCAAGGAAGGCTCTGCCTGGACTTTTGCAAGAAGCAAATGTCTTCAGCAAGCTGAGAAACCTTCCCCAAACCCTGCGCACCCCTGGCAGAAGGCCACCTCCATCAGCCATCCTCCGCTCATTCATGTGCCATATGCGCTTCAATCTCTCACTGAGTCCTCTCTCCCCCCTCTTTCTGACAGGGAGGAATAATTCTTATGCATTTATTCCTGGCAGCAGTACCGGGGATCTGAAGGAGAAATAAACTGCTGGGCTGTTTTCCACAGTGGTACCTGAGCCTCCCTGGGTGCCGAGCTTGGCGAAGGGCTCTCTGGGAGTACAACACTCCCACCTGGTGATGGAGGTGGAGGTGGAGCTGGCTGGGTGGAAGGGCTCCAGGGTTTCCCCTTCCATCTATTTCCTGGCTGAGTTTCTGCTGTTCTCCCCTCAGCTCTTTGAAAGTGGTTTTCAGAGATGCCCTGTGGCTGCAAGCCCTCTCCTCTCCCCTGGGCGGGTGAAGCATCCCGGTACCCAGGTGATGGCTGCCTAACGCAAGGCAGTGTGGCAGCTGGGGGTGTGTGTAATGACCTTGGCTTTGTGGGGCAGGTCCCTTCAGCACAGGAGCTGGTACGTGCGGGGCTGGGGTCTTCCTGCAATGTCACCCACCTTCCTGCCAGCGCCGCAGGCTCCAGTGGCCCCTCTGCAGCATGTGGTCCAGCCAAAGGGACTCTTACCTGGAGAGGGCACCTCCCCTACTTGGAAATGGGTTGGATCCTACAGCCCATGGATGCTGTAGGAGCCAGGGCTATGGCTAATGATGGCGTCTTGCATCCCTTCAGCATGGCTGCACTGTCCTTCATTTGGGGAGAGGAGGGGGCTTTTGGGCAGCCACTGCTGGGAGTGAGGAGGGAGAGAGTGTGGAGCCGTCAAGACTCATCTGTCATCACGCTTCTCTCCCTGTAAAGGTCACAGTCCCAGCCTAGTTTTTGTGGCAGACCTTTAAGAAATCCATTTTGTCCGTGTCTGGGAACCCTGACCTATTTTACTTTGCCATTTCCCACAGCTCCCAGGGGTGACTGTCATGGGCTGAACCTGCTGCGCTCAGGTGTGCTGCCTGCAGACCCTGCCCGCATCCTTACTTCTAGCATCTGGCCCTTTAATAACTGTACAGTGTTACACCACAGACAGTACAGTTTAATTCTCTACTGTATTTTAGCTATAATTAGATTTGTATTTTTTTCTTTAAACGAGCTGCCTTTAATGAGCCTCCACTTACTGGCAAACTTTCATTTCCTGATACGCCATCAAATCCTCTTGTCTGAAATCACTTGCAACACACCCGACTCCTTTGCAGAATTTTTGTGGGTTTCCAGAACAATGTAGCCAAGTTGATGACTTTTTTTTTTTTTAAAACCCAAATATTTTCCCCAAGAGAAGCAGAGGATTTGACTGATCCCTTTTGGTGGCTCACTCTTTGGAGTTTTTGGAGTTTATCACATGGGAGTGAGGTTGTGTGATGGGGTGCCTTAGGACACCGAGCAAGAGTGGGCAGGTACCTGGAAGCGCTCCTTCTGTACCGGGGCTGATGTTGAGAACAGCTTTGCAGCCTGTGGTTTCAGCCGTGGCTTCCCGAAGAGCTCTTGTCCCCTTTGCACGGTGCTGTGATTTGGGCCACCTGAGAAACAGCTGGGGCTGAGAAGAGAAGGGAGCTTTGGGGTTGTTTCATGCGCGGTGGGTGCCTTTGGCACACCGTGGTGGTGTGGCTCTTTGCGGGCAGGAAAGGATGGATCCCTGTGGTGCTGGGGAAGGTTCATCCCTTTCCAGGGTGCAGATGGTCCGAGCTGGCGGTTTGCTGGCCTTCCTCACACGTGACTGGAGTAACCCCTAGGTTGAGACCCCAAGGTGGGCATGCTGATGCCAGCGTGCGGAGCCCGGGCTGGCCTGCCTCGGCCACAGCCTGCTCCCTGGTCTGGCTGGCAATGGTAGCTTTTTTTGGGGGGGGCTATATCTCAGTGTTCCCTGTGCTGCTGCTTTTCTCTGTGTGGGAAAAGATGTCCACCTGTGGGGAGGTGGAGCATGAATGGAGTCCACAGCGTGGGGTTGCTTCATCCACTGAAACACATTTAATTTAAGGGGTGTGAGTTTTCTCAGCCAAGCCAGTAGGCCTATCTGGGTGCCTAAGTGTTTTCTTGGACTGCATCCTACAGCCCTAGTGTTGCTAAAGGTGTCGTCAACAGGCGCAGAGATGATCTGGAGAAGGAATAGGTGCCCACCTTCTTCTCGGACCACCAGACACCGATTTCTCTGGGAGGAGGGTGGTGTGCTCGCCTCTGGCGCAAGCCGGTTGCTCTCAGTCCCAGGTGCATTTTCTTCCTAGTACAAGACTCGCTCAGTTTTCCCCCTTACTTCAATAGGGGATGCTTTAGCTGCAGAAAAAAAAAATATGAGGATTTGGAGATTCAGAGCCGAGCAGTGAAAAAATGCTAGGCGTTTTTTGACAACGCTCCCTCTCCCGTGCCTGTGCTGCCCCGCAGCTGCCGTGTGCGGTGTGTGCTCTCCTTCCTCGCAGGGAGCCCGTGGCTCCAGGAGGAGCCTGGAGGAATCTGTTATTTCCTCTTTCAGCTGAGCAATTCCTCAAACTTACTGGAAGGGCTCAGATCTCTTCTGCCTCATGCCAGTCGGGAGAACCAGAGGGTGCAGGTCCTGTGTCAGACATGCCCGCTGCCCGTGGCGATATTCAAAAGTGCGTTCTTAGATCTGCTACTTTATAATTAAAGTTTGCCATGGCCTGAGCGGCTCGCAGATGGGTAGGAACGCATTAAAAGATCAGTGATCTCTAAAGGTGTATATGTGGACGTCCTCCCTTCTGCTTTCCATCTCCAAGGGGGTAGTTAGCATTCAAGCCAGCTTTGGGACTGGGTGCATTTTACTGTGGGGACGTGGTAGACATGCTCGTGGAGCAGCTCTTGGTCACATGGGTGTTTCTGCTGTGAGTGGGAGCAAAGCTTGGGATGAGATACACACCTTGGGTTGCATTGTCCCAGCGCAGGCAGACACGTGGTGCTGGAGGGGACGGCGTGGTGTATTTTTGCATGCAGCCGCTGTGCCTCAAAGCCTAGGTACCATGAAATGTGGAGCTGTGGCAATGCAGTAAAAACAGTAAGAAAGCAGAAGAGCCAACAAAACGAGCTTCTGGGCTCTGTCCTCTGTGAGGGCAGGTCACCCGAGCGATGGCCGTCCACCTCTGCTGGGCTTTCTCTAGTTGGAGCCTGGACTTACTTGGTGGTTTCTGCTCAGGACGGCTTGTCCTGTGTGAAGGGAGAAGAGGAATGAGTCTCAAAACCACCTCCCCAGGAGAGCGTGATGGCTGGAAGGCAGCTCATGCTGTGCCGGTGCCCTCAGCAGCTCCTCCTCTGCCTGCCGGGATGGCCGGAGCCGCGTGGCCTGGTCACCCTGCAGGTGTTTGCAGCCTGGGTGCTTGGGCTGTCTGTGACACTTCGCCAAAGGGTGTCTGCGTGGCCCATGTCTGGGCACCGTGCTGTCCTCTGCAGGGAATCCTGTAGCTGTTGCTTGCCCTCTTGAGCACTTTGCGTCTCTCACCTTGGCCAGGAGGGTTGCCACATGTCCTGTCGGGCTGACTCTGACCAGAGACGTCAGGATTCACGGTGTTACTGCCTGCTCTGCCGTATTTACTGGCTCATCTGGCTGCATGGTGCAGGGGCAGCTGCTGCACAATTCATTTAATCGAGAACAGTCATACTGAGGTGTCTCCTCCAACCACAGCATCGCAAGATAAAGCTGAAGGTGGAGAGCAGCCTTGCTCACCCCTCGCTCCTCCACCGCTCCTGGAGGCAGGTAGCAGCAGGGAGCTGGGCTGGACCTGCAGTTCCCTTTAAGGGTTTCCAGTAAAATCATTATTTCTAGCCTCGAGCCCTCTCCAGGAGGCTCGTTCAAGGCAAGTCCTCATCCTCCAAGCCTAAAAAGCACCGACCCACCAGCATGGGGCCAGGTGCCTGGGGCAGGACAGCGCAGCGCTTGCGTGGCAGGGGATGCTACGCAGCTCTGCTCCCTCTCCCCGTCTCTCCGCAGCCTGAGTCTGCCCATGTCTCGCAGGAAGCCTTCTGCCATGGCGGTTTCTGCCTCAGTGGCGGCACCGCAGAGTCTCTCGTGTGGACGGGGACGGCTGCGTTTCTCGCTGTGACTCACCCTCCTCCTCCCCCCTCTCCTTCCACAGCAACAGTTGGAGGAAGAAGCAGCCAAACCACCAGAGCCTGAAAAACCCATCTCCCCGCCTCCTATCGAGTCCAAACATCGCAGCTTGGTGCAGATCATCTACGACGAGAACAGGGTGAGTCTGGAAACGATGGAAATGCAAATGTGTGATCCTGCCGTGTCACCCTGGCCAGGGACCGGGAGGTTGGTAAGGGGTAGGTGGGGGATTCCCCTGGGTGAGACCCCTGGGGCAGAGGCTGTGGGAGGCGGATAGATGGAGCCTTGTCTGGGACAGTGATGACAGAGGGCTGAGCTGTAAGGAGCTCGCTCTGCCATGTGGATTGAGCACAAATGTCTTCTGAAGAACCTGTCGGGGGTGGGGGGGGGTTCCCGTGATCAACCTTAGGTTTGAAGCATTCAGGAAATGCTTCAGAGCCCTGTCTGTTAAACAGCTTGTTTCATCCTCTCCCCTGGGAGTGAATCTGGTCAAAAGCTGCCTCAAAGGATGGGCTTTGGCATGGTGGGGTGGGCTGCATGAATGGAGGGGAACATCCGTGATGCGCCAATACTGGCAGGCCCGCTACGAGCTCTCCTGGCTGCCCGTGAGCCCCCCAGGCTGGAGCAGAAAGGACATGGATGCAGCCACGGCTGGATTTGTGGATATTTGAGACTGTAAATAGCATTAGCAAAGGTCAGACTGGCATCCCTGGTTCTGGATCTCTGCCTTGACCGCTCATTTGTTGCACTCAGCCATTGCCTGTAATAGCAGCCTGAGGAGACGTGAATTTTGCTATGTGCTTCGGAGCGATGCTAGGAAATTGGGCCATTTGGTAGATAATCAAGCATATTCATTTTCATTTAGGTGTTGGATAAAAAGGATGATTTTGCATAAAAGGAAAACTACCAGTCGCTAATTATTTTGAATTGCAAGGCCTGCGATTTCACTGGGAGCTGCAGAAATCCAGGTGCCCGACTCCTAAAAAGAAAAAAAAAAAAAAAAATCGCATACCCTGCGCTCCCAGGCAGTGCAATTTTCTTGGTTTTCCTTTTCCCATCTGGTGCTCCTCTCCCTGAGCAATAGGAAGCCCAGTGCTGGCACAGTCTGTTGTGCGAGTGGGTGAAGACCGAGGTCGATGTGTTTGAAGCATTAGCAAGCGCCGGCTGGCGATAGCTTTACAGACGCTGGGCTTTGGGGGCAGGTGCCGAGCTTTCCTCAAAGCCCTTCTCCCCATGGCACCACCAAGTGCCCTCTCCAGGGGTCTTGGGCTGGATGGCTTGTGCCTCCTGTGCAAGGGGTTAGGTTCAAAAAAAGGAGGTCTCAAGCATTTTTATTCCAATTCCCTTGAGCCCCATCCTCCTTAGACACTCTCGTGTACCTGGAGCACGTTACGAGGGGCAGAAACAGGTTATGGTGCTGAGGCAGGAAGGAAAGGTGGTTGATCTTCAGCTATTGCATCCCTAACGGCCTGTGTTGTAGCAATCCGTGTTAGCTGGACCTGCTTCAGGGCTGAGTGTCCTGCCAGACCCTTGTCCTGCTTTGTCACCTCTTGTCTCTGCCCACGCCACCAGCAGGGTCACGCTTTCCCTCCCGTCTCCCTGAGTCTGCCGTCACCTTCTCCATGGCGCAGCTGCGATCTGCTCTCAAAGCCTCTGCCGTGGCTCAGCGCAGTCCCTCAGGGTCCCATGGGTGGTGGTGAAGAACTCCACGCTTGCTCTCTGCATTCTACATATCTCTTTGAAGGTGTGCGGCCCTGATACCTGGGGTGCTGTCACATACGGTGCTCAGAGCTTGTGGCATCCATTTGCCAGCATGCCTGACTTTATTCTGAGTTATGCTGATCCTCAAAGCCAGTCTGGTACCAGGAGTGTGTTGCTATTAACCTTCGCGATAGGGTGCACTCGTTCCAGGTGGGTGCTCAGCAAGTGAAGGTCATGTCTGACACCAAATGTCTGCGTAATTTCAAATCTGGCTCCGTGTTCGTGTCTGCATCATCTCTGGGATGGGTAAATGATGATTCTTCCTCTCTTCTTATAAAGTCCCCTTGCAAGTAGCATGTAAGCAAGCCCATCTGTGGGTAGGAGACTCAAACCAAACAACCCTTCCCTTTCGCTTGATAGAAACCATAGCAGGCTGGAGAGAAGTTCCTCCTTTGAAGAAGATGTGATTTATTCATGGACAACAGAGGGTCGACAGAGCCTTGCTGGCCAATTGTAACAGCTGAGACCAGGTGACGGAAGGACCCTTTTAGGTACTCAGCAGGGCTGCAAGGGGAAGGGTGTGCTGAGCCTTGCCGACAGCGTTGCCTTTGTCATGGCTCCAGTAACAAAGGTGGGATCCAGGATGCAGTTGTTCTTCTAAAGGGCACGCTCAGAATCTGCTTTCAGCCTCTCACCTCCATTGGACACGTTTGGGCTGCCTTTTGGTGACGACTGCTCTTCCCCTTGGGGCCAGGAGGAGAAAAGCTGGAAGAGGAAAGAACATGGGAATGGCATCAGTTAGGATCGTGGGTGGTGGTCAGATGGCAGGTTGCTTTGGGTGGGTTTGGTGGCAGCAGACCCTCCGGGCATACCGGGCTGTTGGTCGGACGTGGGGAGAGTCCCAGGCACCCTTGTGCTGATCTGCGGCTTTGCTGCAGCTTAACACTTAATTGCAGGGTGAGTTGGTAGGAGCAAAGGGCCATGAGCCAGTTAGAGACATATTGATCTAGAGTGGGGAAGGTCGCTGAGCCAAATTTTAAGCCTTTCCGCCTCTTCTGTGCTGCGGAAAAGCAGTGAAGTTGAATGCCTCGAGGTCCGCTCGCAGGAAAAGCAGCTGTAACGGCTGAGCCAGGGCTCCAGCCCGTGCACAAAGGGAAGAAAAGCCTGATTTACTCACATCGCTCGGCTTGTGGCTTGCTTGAGGGAGGCAGCGCATGGTAAGAAATGCAAATAAAGAGGATATTCAGGCCTCAGGAAGAGGCAGGAGAGCGAAGCACCCCAGAAGAGCTGGCAAAGCCCGAATGGATCTTTAAAGAGCAAGATTGTGGAAGGGGCAGAAAGCCAGCGCTTGGGCCGGTGCCAGAGCAGGTGGGAGGCAGCGCGCTTCGTGGAGGGGCTGTCGCCTGGCTCTGGTTTAATTTTTCATGAACTGCGGGTCTGTGCCTCACTGAGCACGCGGGTGCCGCTGTGCCCGTTCCCACCGCGCCTGCCAGGCTGTGCCGGAGTTGCACACTGCGTGCAGTTATACCCCGAACAAAGGAGACACCAAAAACAGTCCATGGGAGAGAAGAGGTTACGTGAGGACAGAGCAGCTAAAAACGCCGGAAAATCAAGTTAGCCAGCCATTCTGTGACCTACTTTCCTTTTGGCGATAGCTGTGGCTTTGCAGGGGTGAATGGTTTCTAATTTTAGCTTATGGTTCGTCAGGGAAGGCTATATATTTTTCTCACTGCTGTGCTGGGTATAGATGAGGGGTTGGGATGCAGGTCAGCACTGGCCTGTATCTGATTTTCTCAAAATTCACGTTCGCTGATGCTAAACACCCGTCACGCTGCTTTTCCCTCTTGTGACCTACTTAACGCATACGATTTGAAAAGTTCCTCGGCATCCGAGAGGATAATTGTGGAAAACGTGGTCTGTAATCCCCTCTTGCTACACTCTGCTGGACAAGTAATTGATTTCCAGAAAAAGAGAAAGTTGACTGGGCAGATTCTGCTGGGGAAGTGGAGAGAAGCCACTCTTAACTGCGGTGAAATCCTGTACTGTGAGGCTGTCATTGCATTTGGGAAGGTTTCAGGGGACTTGGGTTATAGAGAGGCAGTTGATATTCAAGATCCAGGTGCCTGCCGCCCTGAGTACATGCGGTCTGGGGCCACTTTATCTTGTCTCCAAATATGAGCTGTGAAGCTGCACCCAAAAAAGTACCTTTTGGGAAATGTTTGCAATATAACACAGAAAAACACACATGCCTGTATCCAAGCCAAAATTTCAGCTGTGAGTGCAAACTGTACCATTTCTGAAAGGATGCATGAGAATGGAAGTTAACATTTTTGGTACTCTCTGTAGACTAAACTGAGAATAAACAGTGGGTAGCATTTTCAGAAGCATCCGAGTCCTATTCTCAAAAGTGCTTTTAGTCCTTTCCTTGAAGAGACAGAGCAATGTTTGAAAACGGTGATGGGTGCTAAAATCGCCGAGATCGTTCAGAAAGTGCAGTGGGGAGCTCAGAGGACCATTTCGGCTGCAGGGTGCATGGGTGCAAGATGGGGTGCATTTGCCAGTCCCCTTCACCCCCTTTCCCAGAGCCAGGTGCTGGCAGGGTGGTGCAGAGCTACCTGGGGACATCAGGTTATGATGGGCATCTCGGTTGCTGCTGGAGACTGATAACGATGCAGGGCTTGGGGATCTCCTGGATTAAACTGTGTGAGCAACCTTTAGTGTCTCCCCTGCGGGTGGGAGCTGATCCCTTCCAGGCCTGGCACCTTTAGGGTGGTAGCTGTGTGGCACAGCCTCCTTGCAGGCTTTAATTTGCCCCTCTGGGAGCGTTATTGTATGAGAGAATTGAGCTTTCTTCCACTTCAAATCCCTGTAACCAGGGCAGATCATCTGTGTATGTTTTTAGCTCTGGCTTTATTATGCTGGGCTGTTCACAGGATTCCTTGTCTCCATCTTCCATTGAAATTGATTGCACGTACCCGGGCTTGAAGATGTTGTTGTGCTTTAAATGGAAATTTCCAGGTCCCTTGCTAAGCGTGGGGAGGAGGGCAGCGTTGCCATCGCTCCAGACTGCTCTCCGTGCCTTTCCTGGGGTGCTGGGCTGGTTGAGCTCTCCTTGCCAAGCGTGGCCTGGAGGAGGCTGCATTGCAGCAGCCCTGCCCATGCCAGCAGCCCACCTTGGCTTGGCTGGGTGAATTCTTCTCCAAGTCCCCTGCGTGCCCAAATTCCCCGCTGGCTACCACGCAGGTGTGCATGCAGGCATGCTCGTGCCTCCTCTCCGAGCATTGTGATGACATGGAGCCTGCATCAGGTACCCATCTCCAGCTGTCTGC